ATGCAAGAATGAAAGAGAAGGGCTGGGGTGTAGCTCAGTGGTGCCGTGCCTGCTTAACAAACACAAAATCCTGAGTTCGATTTCTGGTACAGAAAAAAAGTTAAAAGGAGAAATAAAGAGGAAAGGACAGAGGAGAAAAGCTAAGGAAAGGATGTTGTTATGGTTTATATTTAGGTTTCACCTCTAAAGCCTTTTGTGCTCATAGATTGGAGCTTTTGGGAGGTGGCTGGATCATGGGTGGGTGAATATGGATAAAGGGTGTGTGATTATGTGGATTAATCCTTTAACTAGATTAGCATAATTCTGGGTGTGGCTGAATGGCTTTACTGAAGAGGAAAGCCCCACCTGGATGTGGATGGCCTTATATTGTGAGTGCAATAGGAAGGGACAGAAGGAAAGCAAGACTCACTGCCTTCTTGCCTTCCCTGTCATGAACTTGTTCTCCTCAGCCATGTCCTCCTGCCTTGGAGCCAGCCAACTGTGAACTAAAACCTCTGCAAACTGTGAACTAAAATAAAATTTTCCTCCTTTAACTTGTAAGTATCAAGTGTTTTGTCCAGCAACAAGAAAGTAACTGAGATGGATATATTCCAGGCAAAAAGCATACACTCTCTCATTAAAGAAATACAAGAGGCTTAATAGGAAAACCATGTTGAAACAGTTTATTTAAGTCAGTGATTTTCAGATTATATTCTGACAGACCCCTACCTGGGCTGGGAAGTGAGCTACCAAAATCTTTAGACAAGGCAGTAGAACTGCAGGTGTACTAAAAAGACAGGTGTGACAATAGACACACAGGAATATGTTGGGGAACCATCCAGTATGTCAGATGAGACGGCATGAGCCCAAATGTATTATTGGCCCAAGACCAAAAATAAAATAGGAGGATGAATGTATATGCTTTAACCAAGGAAGGACTAGCAGGACTCAATTATAGAATGGATGAATGCTGTACCAGGGGAAGTAAAAGTTGAAGATCCATCCAGTTACAGAAATGAAGAATCTCATGTTGAACCTAAATCTGATGGCACTAGATTAATTGGAAATACGGAAGATGATTCCTGGATTATGTCCCAAGTTCTAAAGAGAAATGCAAAGTAGATTAAAATTGTTCACTTTATGTGAAGTTTAAGTATGATGGCTCTTTTATGGGATTACAGCTACTGTCAACAGTGAGTGTGAGCATACAAAAGATCTGGTTAGTTGTTTTCTTGCAAGATTCAAATCTGAAAAGGTTTTGTGCTGTGAAGTGGGGTGGTAGGGAATGAAGTTAAATTGAAAAATCCTGGGCTCTATGGCACAGCTAAAGTTCCTTAACCAGAGTCTGTGAGTTGGTACTTCTTTTATTTTGTTTTGGTTTTTGGTTTTTTTGAGACAGGGTCTCACTATGTAGTTGAGACTGACCTGGAACTATATAGTTTAGGATGGTCTCAAAGTCACAGCAGTCCTCCTGCCTGCTTCTTGAGTGCTGGTATTATAGGCGTGCACCACCACGCCCAGCATTGTGAGTTGGTAGAAGTGGTATTCACAGGACAGCATTGTTAGGTAAAGCAGAGGTAGTTAATGATGGGGATGCTACTTGGTAAGCCTAAAATCCTAAACAGGAGAGTACTTAGGGTTCCTCCTCTTACCTGGTGTTATAAAGCCACAAAACAAAGGATGAGAAAGGCTCCGAGAATTTACTGCCCTCTTCCTTGTCCCCATGAAAAACTAATAATGAAATAAAAATAGAAAAAGATGCAAATATTTACTCAGTGTAAGAAAGGCTTATATAAATATAATCATATTCAGTATAAAGGTTCACAAATATACAATATATATTAAAATTGAGAGCTGGGGATTTAGCTCAGTGGTTCTGCCACCTGCTTCACAAGCGCAAGGTCCCAAGTTCAATCCCCGGTACCCCCCCAAATTCAGATATAGAATTCCTAACTTCCTATACCTCAGAATGTATCCCATTTTGGAGATATGGTCTTTGAAAAGGTGATTAAGTTAAGTGAGGTTTTGGTGTAGGACTTAATCTAGTATGATTGGTAGCCTTATAAGAATAGGAGATTAAGGGAAACTCAGACTAGGGTTGACTATGAGAACATAACTGACTATGAGAAGGCTGCAAGCCAAGGACTGAAGAGGCCTCAGAAGAATCTGGCATTTTGAGCTTGGGCTTTCAGGCTCCAGAACTGTGGCAAAATAAAATTTTGTTGTTTAAGCCATCAAGTATAGTATATGGCAGTTTGTCATAGTCACGCTGGTAAAGTAATGTAACAGCATACATTTTGGCAAGTTCATAAACAGAGTGAAAAGGTACTAATACCCTACAAAAATTGTTGATTCATGCAGACAAAGAAGGACCTAGAATCCACAACCTTCCAGTAGCACTGAGCGTATTTAACATAAAATCTTAGTTTCAAATACTATCCTTAATAAAAGAAATTAGGCAGTGACTGATTCTAGGAATGGAGCAGGAAATATACAAGATGAGCCTACAGCATCATATAATGCCATAAAGCAACGTGGTACCCATCACACTTACACCCACACACACTCACATGCACACATCAGACCTCACAATAATAGAGATGTCACAGTGATACAGGAGCTATCAGAAAGATCTACCAGTGACCAGATCTTTGAACAACAAGATGAAGTAGTGTATACCAGAGTATGAAATAAATATCCATGAGTCCATACCAATATAAATAAATCGAGTGAGTGAAAAAGAATAGACAAGTATCTTGTACAGAAGAATTCTAGTTTATTTGGGTAGATACTCCCCTCAGTGAAGTAGAGCTAAATTCCCTCCCTACTCTAGCATGTGGGCTTTGCACAGTGATTTCTTTCTAAACAATGAAGTGTGGAAAGCGGATGAAGAAGAGTACCTCTTCAGTTTACCTCAGCATAGTGATCAGGGTTAACATCAAGAGTGTTGAGTCATGTTGGTAATGTATATTCTTGATACAGTGTGATGAGCTGAGAATAATAGTTGACCTCTGTAGTCCTCCTAAAAACCCATTCCTCCCTCTAATCAGGAGGACATCAAACATTCAAATAGAGAAATATCCTACAATGTAATCGACAAGTACTCTTTAAAACTATCAAGATGATCAGAAATGAGGAAAGTCTGAAACTTACAGCCAAGAGAGCTCAGAATGCATCTAAATGGGATGCGCTATAACTGGGTAAGGTCTTGGAACCAAGAAAAGCAAAAGGCAAGGGAAGGGAGAGGGAAAGAAAAGGAGAGGAAGAGGATACTAGGTAAAACCTAAGGAAATCTGAATAAAGTATGTTGTATATATTTCAAAACAATACATCACTATAACAAATGTACTATTTCAATCTAAGATGTTGCTAACAGAAAAAAAAATTAGGTGTGGAGTATATGAGAATTACCTGTACCACTTTCCCAACTTTTCTATAAAATTTGTTCTAAAATAAAAAGTCCATTTAAAACAATAAAATTCTATACACTCTACAACAAAACGCTAGTAAACACTTGAAAAACATTCAAATTTTCCCATATTAAAAAATGTACACTAAAACTATATGGTTATCATTTTTCTCTTCTTTCACTGGCAGTTTTTTAAATTTGACCTATGATTTGCAACATACAAGATGAAAAATAGAACCGTTATTTTGTTAGGTAAAAATGTGTGTAACCTTTGAGGCAGCAGTAGCCAATCAGGAAGTAAATATCAGTGTTCAGAAAAATGTTTTTCACAGTATTATGTGCAATAGGAAGACCTTGGTTATTAACCAAAAGCTTATAAATTTAGAGTTATGGGGATCCTAAAGTGTAGGACATTAAGAATAATACAGTTGAGGGGCCAGGGATTTAGCTTAGTGGTTCTGCCACGTGCTTCGCAAGCACAAGGTCCCTAGTTCAATCCCTGGTACAAATAATAATGATAATAATAATAATAATTATTGTGCAATAGGAAGACCTTGGTTATTAACCAAAAGCTTATAAATTTAGAGTTATGGGGATCCTAAAGTGTAGGACATTAAGAATAATACAGTTGAGGGGCCAGGGATTTAGCTTAGTGGTTCTGCCACGTGCTTCGCAAGCACAAGGTCCCTAGTTCAATCCCTGGTACAAATAATAATGATAATAATAATAATAATTATTTTTTTATTCACTTTACATAAACAACATGCCAGTTGTAAGACCTGTCATGACATTTCTGTGTCTATCATTTATGTTTATATCTTTTAAATATGGGATTTGGTGAAGGTAAGAAATAACACTGGGGCCGGGGATTTAGCTCAGCGGTTCGGTGGGCTGCCTAGCTTAGAGAGTTGTTAATACATACTGTAACTAATATATCAAGTATTATTTCACAGCTCTATCATTTTAAGTAAAAGCCAGTGCTTCTAAAACTACTGGCATGTAGGGTCAAGTTTTCATGAACACAGAAGGTGTGTGGATATGCATCTCTATTGTGATGGTATGTGCGATGGAACTGGGGACCTTCTACTTGCAAGGCATACGGCAGAACCTCTGAGCTAAATCCCTGGCCCCAAAAGTAGACTTTTTGTAAAATAAAATACCATGTGTACTTATTCTTCACTAGAAAGATTGAATTCCCCTGGTTGTTTTCTACATTTTCCAAAGGTTCTTCAGGGAACCACATATTTTTTGTGATGAGGTAAAAGGTTTTAAGTCATTTTTTTTTCAAAATAAATCTTTTATTTCCATGAAACTGCTATCTAAAATATTTCTAAATAAATTTTATTTTATCTTATTCCCCCCCTTAAACTCCCTCCCCTCCTTTGTACAAAAGCTTTGCTTCCATTTTGCTACCTAAAATGTTGAAATCTTCTTTTTATGAAAAGAAAATGTATTTTCACTTTGCTTTTCTGGTCAATTTAGTTTATACACAAATTACATTTATGCAAATTTGAAGTTACAGGTTTCCTAATTCTTTTCTGTTAAGTTGCATTTTCTTGAGCTGTTGCAAGGATTGTTGTGTTTAATTAATCTTCTGCTTTTTTACTTTTAGGCTGGTGTTTGGTATGCTTTATCCTGCATATTATTCATACAAAACTGTGAAGACAAAAAACGTGAAGGAGTATGTAAGTGATTAATTTTCATTTAATTAATATGCAACACTAGAAAAACTGCTCTTATTTTAGAAGCAGCTGAACTCATGTTTTGGGTTAAAATGTAATATAAATATGAATAATGAAATTAATCTTTTTAACACATGGAGCATGACACTGGGTCCAGTGGACCCATCCCTTACTTCTCTACTGTAATTTGTACTTTAGCTAATAGTAGCTGGCTATACATCTCTACCTTTTCCTGAAGGATACAAAAAGTAATCTATGTGTTTACCCACTTGATATGATGAATGGCAAGGTGTGCACATGTGTGCAAAAGTGGCAAAATGAGATTATTTTACCCACATTATGCTGCATCTAACTGGTTTACTTTACATATGTTTACCTGAGCCTCACAGAGAGCTCAGTAGACCCACACCATTCAAGGATTCATTAAGAAAAGGTTTTCTTTTGATTTTCTGGTATATGTGGCCCAGTTCAGTACAATGACACATGAAAAACTAGATTTGCAAGTTTTGGACAAGGTTAAAAGTGTATCATCAGATTACTCATGCATGGATTATTATGATTCTTTATGGTAAAATACATGTTTCATAACACAAGAGTGGTGTGGGCATATTATGATGATGACAATGACTTTGACATTGGCCATGTCAGCCAAAGTTCCTGTGACAATGAAATGGAGCGAGAATCGTCTGATATAGACACAGGGAATCCAAACCTCCTTGATTCAGATGATGATGATAACAGCAGTGTTTTGACTAGTCACAATATTGCAAAATGGCCACACAACCAAATGTTAGAATTAAGTCTAAAAATATAGTGAGGGTCTTGGCAGGGGCGAAATATAGTAGATAGAATGCCAGCACTGCCATTCAGTACTGGAAATTGTGATAGATGAAATGCTACAAAATGCTATAAAATACACAAAGGCTGAAATGCAAGTAAAACAATCTGTATGCTCAGGATTCAAAATTGTATTTATTATGACACTTCACTAGCTGAACTGAAAGCATTCTTAGGTCTGATGTATTTAGCAGGGATTTCTCATAGTAATCACAGGAATGTAAAAGATTTATGGAAAAGCGGTGAGTCAAACTATGGTATAAAAATTTATACCCTTGCAGATGCAAAGAATTATTATGCTTTCATTTTAAGACATTCATCCTAGAACTCAGCCATCAGGTCCTTATTTGTATAGTAATAAATCAAATGATGTTGTGAACACACTTGTGGCTCCCATCTCCCAAACTAAGTGGAATGTGATATTCTACAATTAGTTTACCAGTTTTCAATTTATGTTACATTTGCTAACAGCGCACAGGTTGACCAGTGCAGGAACAAAGCAGAAATTCCAAATGAAATGTCCAATTTCAAAACAGAAAATTATATAGTACAATTTTCAGAAAGATTTACATTGGCCTTATATATGTCAAAGAAAAACAAACTGGTACTACTGATGTCAATATTGCACCAGGATGGAAATACTGATATGGAAACCTCAACCAAATAGAAGCCTGAGCTGGAAACTTTTTATAACAAAACCAAAGGTGGAGTAGATTTTGTTGATGAATTATGCAGCAACTAGAACATCACTCAATACAAATGTCAGCTGTGCCCTATAAGAAAGGACAGGTAAACAAAACATATATGCAATCAATGTTAAGTGATACTTGTGTATGAAACATGCAGTTGTCAGGTGTGAAGACTGCTTTGGGAGTGACCAGTTGAAGCAAAGATTATCTCTATTTGTGTTTACATTGTAGTTCACATAGGTTTTTTTCTTTGTTTGTTTTTATTGGGTTTTTTTTTTACAAGAATGAGACTAATCAGTTTTAAGTGGAGTTTCACATAGGTTTTTATTTCTGATGTTATCTCTAGGTTTTGTAAGCAGATAAACAGCTGATGTGAAGATGTTGATGTCTATTGTAAGCACTCATTACGTATTTGATATTTTATTTTATTGATGTATTATTTCCTTGCTACGTGCCTGTTGTACAATATAGTAGGAAACTCCTGACAAAATAGGAAGAGAAGAGAGGCGACAAGACTGCCACACAGGAAAGGAAGGCTAAGAACATATACTGTCCATGTAAGCAAGACATGTGCATAGGACATACAGTTGTCATGTGTGAAGACTGCCTTGGTGACAATTAAAGGAAAGCTTATTTGTATTGTACAATTCTATGTGTATTTTCATTGTTCATATAGGAATTTATTTCTGATGTTATAAGTTTTCTAAGAAAGTATGCAGCTGATATGAAAATAATGATGTCTGTTGTAAATGCACAATCCATTTCAAGAATTTAATACTTTTATGTTCCTGTTAACTACACACTGTATAATAAAAAAAAACTCCTGACAAAACAGCAAGATCAAAGAGATAGATGTCAAGTATGTCCTACAAAAAGGCAAGGAAAGCAAAATACATGTGCTGTCATTGTAAGCAATACATGCATATGGAACATGTTGTCATGTGTGCCAAGTGCCTTAAGAATGATTATTGAAGGTTTTTTGTTGTTGTTGTTGTTGTTTTTCCGGTACTGGGGATCGAACTCAGGTAGGTCCTTGTGCTTGTGAGGCAGTCACCAGAACTACTGAGCTAACTCCCTGGCCCTCAAATAAAAATTTATTTGTATTCTTTTTTAGACTTTGTACACGAAAAAGCAGTCAATGTTGAAACATTGGATGCTTTCTATAAACACTCAATAAATATTAAAAATTCAATATTTTATTTTTATGATATTTTTTCTGTTAAATATTCAATGTTTAATATAATAAAATTCATAGAATTAAAATTAATTTTTCATTAATAGAAATAATTCTAAAGAATAAATGTGGGTGTGGCAGAACCACATTTATGCACCTTCATGATAAAATTAGTGTCGATGCTCTACTTAAAAACTAACTTTCTGGCCAGGGATTTAGCTCAGTGGCACTGCACCTCCCTCCAAAGTGCAAGAAAAGAATCCCCGGTACTGAAAAGAAAAACTAACTTTGAAGTCTTCTCCAAAGTAGAGCTTCAAAAATAGTTCACAGTTAGCCAGGTGTGGTGGCACACACCTGTAATCCCAGCAGTTGGGAGGCTGAGGCAGGGAGATCGCTGAGAGTTCGAGACCAGCCTGGGCTACACAGTGAGTTCCAGGTCAGTCTCAACTACATAGTGAGGAGACCCTGTCTCAAAAAAAACCAAAAAAAAAAAAAAAGTTATTCTGGCCAGGGATTTAGCTCAGTGGCACTGCACCTCCCTCCAAAGTGCAAGAAAAGAATCCCCGGTACTGAAAAGAAAAACTAACTTTGAAGTCTTCTCCAAAGTAGAGCTTCAAAAATAGTTCACAGTTAGCCAGGTGTGGTGGCACACACCTGTAATCCCAGCAGTTGGGAGGCTGAGGCAGGGAGATCGCTGAGAGTTCGAGACCAGCCTGGGCTACACAGTGAGTTCCAGGTCAGTCTCAACTACATAGTGAGGAGACCCTGTCTCAAAAAAAACCAAAAAAAAAAAAAAAGTTCACAGTCAGTTGGCATCTATAGAAGCATATGATTCCCAAGATGAGTAATTGGATATCTCTTAATTTAGTCTGTAAATTCCAGTGTAGTAAGGGTTTGGGGGACTTTTTGTTTGTATGTTTGACTTTTGAAGAAGGGATGTGGTTTTTCTAGCCTTATAAATTTGTAGATACACTGAGAACATATCTCTTTGTGTAAAGCCTTTTTTTTATCTTTTATCATTTTCTAATTGACTTAATTATAAAAATACTCCATCACTACTGACAATTCTTTTTGAATTAGACTTTAATTATTTGTTTTTAATCCTCAGTGTTTCTTCTTTCAGTTTACTCTTCCTTTTTCCTTGCTTTCATTCATTGTTTTATCATTTCTGTAAGTTCTCCCCTTTCCTAATTTTATCTTTATTGTTTAATAGAAAGGGACTTTCCTCACATACAAATCTGGTTGTAGTGTGCCATGTTTGACAAAGTGAAATTTCAGAAAATAGCAAAAATGTACTTTGTTTTTAGTTAATCAAAGGAGGAAAGCTGTCAGTTCTGAAGTAACACACCAATAACTAAGGCTCTTTTAATTGAGAATGTTTTTGATGACATAATATTAACCATTTCAAAGTGTGCAGTTCAGTAATATTTAATATATTCATAATACTTTGCAAAACATCACTTCTCTCTCTAGTACGCTGTGACACAAAATAAAACTTCATGCCCAGTAAGCAGTAACTCCTCATCCACTTTTCCCATCCCCAAGCAACTAGCAGCAAGCAATCTGCTTTCTGTTTGTTTGGACTTCCCTATTCTGAATATTGTATACAAATGGAATCATATCACAGGTGACCTTTCTTCTGACTTCTTCCACTTAGCCTGATGTTTTCAAGATTCACCCATGTTTTCGTACTTTATTCCTCTTTAGGACTGAACAATATTCCATTGTGTTAATAAATAAAACCCACTAAGTCCAGATCTATTCACCTGTTGACAGATACTTGAATTATTCTATCTTTTGGCTATTATGAATAGTGCTGCTACAGGCATTGACATAAAAGGTTTTGTTTGAGTACCTGCTTTTATTCTTTTGGGTTTAGAGCTGTGGTTCTTTGTAACGGATCTTGGATGGTGGTCTTGTCATTTACCTCATCAAATGATCAGAGAGTTTATCATGCTTTTTTATATCATGCTCTGTATATCCAGAGCTGGTGGACAATAGACTGAAACCCTTATAACTAACCCATTCTATTGAACTTTTATATTCTTTTTTAAACTTTCATATAAAGCTAATAAACATAATGAAGTTTTTCATTATTATATAAATCTCTTGTATCTAGGATTGATGAAATAGTCTTAAGAGATAGAATGACATTAAATCCTGGTAATTTAAATTTATCTTATAAATGCCTTGTGATATATTTTAACATATGTTGTAATAAATTCTTCAAGTATTATTTTATAATGCTGATGTACATTACTTTTTTTTTTTTTTTTTTTTTTTTTTTTTTTTTTTTTTTTTTT